CCTGAACAAAATCACATGCCTTGTTCTGATTCTTGTGTTCTGGGAGGCGTTTGGAGACGTACTTTGATGATTCTGTCTAGTAACTGTGTGCAGGCTGAGTCCCAGCTCCAGGGGGAAGGGATAATGTGGGATAGGAAGGCTTGTTAGCTTCTGGGACACTGCGGAATACAGAAGTCCTATGTGGAGGCTTTGTCTGTAGGGAGTATCTTGACTAAAGTCCTCAAAAACAGAATCATCTGGAGTTGCTGTCTCATGACTTTTGACGTGCAAATTGACCCCAGATCCTGATTCTTGTCCTAACTGGCTGAAAGGGGTTAAGTGGAAAATACTGGGTTGACCCCAAATGCACTAGGATTCTTGAGATGGGGTCTTGGCTTCCACCTGAATCCTACATTACCCTGTCTGAAACTTATACACTTGACAGTTATGCATGGGACTGTTCTTCTTACCAGGAAACCCTATCCAGAGGATTTTAGTCCTCTCAGTGCTGTACTAGTGACAGCACAAACCATAACACACACACACACACACACACACACACGCACACACACACACCACATTTACATGAACTTACTGGAGTCATGCAAAGTCCGTGGTCCCCAAAGGCATTTTACCAAGGGGTGAATGAGAATATCAAGCCAACATTGAGGTTCTGTGAAATGACTTAAAATGATTGCCAATCCCAAAGAGTTTCATTTAAATTTGATTCATCCCCCATTCTGCAAGCTGTCTGGATACATTGGTTTTGGGGTAAGTGGAACAGTCCCCAGCTTCTGGTGGCAGCAGATACATCTGAAACATGGAATTAAATCAACTTTGCTCCCGTGAGGGACAGGTGGAGGACTCCCATTTCCTACCAATTCAGTTGGAAACAATGAGGGAGAGTGAAAAAAAAAAGGCCCTCCCTTCTCTTTCTGGCCTTAGACATGAACTCTTGATAAGATCCTGGCAAACAGGCAGCATTTTTTAACAGCCATTGCCCTCCTCAGCTGAGAAAACAGCAGGAGCCCAACGAGGAACTGGGGCCACCTCTATTGTGAATGTGGCCAGGCAAACTCACTGTCGCCCAACAGCAGAGCCCGCCATGAGTGAGATAAGGAGCATAATAACATTTTCACATGAACCCTACATTCTTACCTCTTCTATAGGAAAGGATATCCCTGCCGGAAGGAGGAAGGTGGGGTCCAGCCCATGTCCTAACAGCAGTGCTGGGACTGCATTGTCCAGGCCTTTGTAGGGACACAGGAAGAGGGTACGGAAGTTTCGACAGGAAAACAGAGAAAAGTTCAAACGTAAACAGCATCCAAAAAAAAAAAAAATATTACCAATAGCAGGCTAGATTTCCTCTGCAGGCCCTCCGTGCTTCCATGTACCCCCCAGGCTGGCAGATTTTAATCTCGGGCTATATTCACCTTGGTAACCTCCAGCCTGTGTGATCATACTGATTCCCTGCTTAATAAGTGAAGAGGATGTGTTTTTGATAGCACTAGAGACAAAGAAAAAAAAAAAAACGAAAAGAAACCCACCTCTTTCCAGAGACTGTATCCTGGCCTGGGCAGAGTCTGATCCGTCTTTTCCATGTGTCATTTCTGGGACGGGCATGGGCTTCCCTGAAGTCCAGTGCAGGGCAGGGGCAGCTCCCCTTGGGGGGAGATTTGGAGAGTGACTCTCCCAGCTCAATCTCTGCTCCCCCCAGTAAGGCAAGGCTTTGGTTGGGCTCTTTTGTTTTGCCCAAAATGGCCCAAATTCACGCCTAAGGGATGTGAAAAGGATAGGATTCCCATTCCACAAGGATCCAGGGAGGGCTGGAAATTTCCTTCCCCGTGACCCTGCGCCTGCCCCACTAGCCCCCCAAGGCCCAAGCCACAGAGCTTCTGGTTTGAGAGTTATGGAAAGTATTATGGAAACAGGCAGAAGCAATTCTGTCATGAGATCTGAATGGCAGAAGCCAAGATGAAAAACAGAGACAGCAGCTTTAGGGGATAGTCTCCCGCCTGTGCCTGGCCCATGGGGACTAAGCCACATAGTCTCCTTTGCCTCAAGCTGCATATATGGGTGGCAGAAACATGGGAGATAGTCGCAGGACCCCTGGTGCAAAACAGCAGGGTGAAGGTATTCCCAGGACAGCAGGTGAAAGTAAGGAGCTTCTTTCTCCATGTTCCCACTGATTGAGAGAACTCACAATTGCAGAAGCCACCTGCCAACCAGGCTCTAATGGGCACTGCTGGCACTAAAAGCCACCCCGCTTGCTTCTGAAATGGGGCTGATCACACCTTTTCGGAGCAAACACTTAGAGTTAATAGACAGACTTCCTAGATGCTGCCATTATGGGGAATTAAGGCACTGTCTGCCTCCTCAAAATAGCTCTTAAAACCCAAGTGTCTTTCACGCCCATCCAAAGAGGAGACCTGAGTGGACTGCTCCAGCCTTTTAGAGGACATGTATTTTTTTTTCCAAACCGCTTTTTCCAGAACAAATAGCTTCCATTATGTTCAGCCAGAGACCAATTCTTCACTTAAGTATGTAAAGCAAAATATGACTGGTTCTCCGGATGCGTTATTCACAACAGAGGAGTGACTGGGGTGCGTTATAGAAAAGCCAGTACAAGTAACAGGGTGACCTTGATTTCTGTTTATGGTGAATTCTGAAGGTTCAGCTGTCTGTAAGGCAGACTGCACCCTCAGGAAACAGGGATGGGCAGAACTCACTCAGGCGGCCCACATGTACTGAACAACTGTTGCTTCTCTCATCACATTCATTCATTTTGATAAGGTGCCCCACAATGGGTTGCATGTGCAAGACAATCAGATGGTTTCAATACAGTCTGCAATTGACCCTAATTAGTGAGGGGTAATTGACAAAGAGACAGGTCTTTGAGTCTCAAACTGCCCTGAACCTGAAGAACTACCTGGGGCCCCAGGAAGTTCCTAACCCACAAAAGAGAAGCAGAACACATGCCAGCTTGCATGGGAAGGGGCCCCAGCAAACCGAAGCTGAGTGCTAGATAGCACTTGAGCGAGCAGGTGACTTGCATGAAGGAGGATGTGTGAGGAGAGGGACAGTGTTGGCTCTCTGAACTCAGTATCACACGGCCCAGGAAGGATGTGGCCTCTTCCTGTGGAGTCCAGGCAGCCAGGCTCTGGGGTCAGCGGGCATCTCTAAAATACACCAGGCAACAACTCATTGCTGAGCTCAATGTGTTCCCACCTGATGCTCAGACCCTGATTTCTTCTTTCTCCAGGAAGACTTCTGGGCCTTCATCCTTGTCCTTTCTTCCCCACGGTACCTTCCCAGACACTGGGTCTGGCTTTGTGGTACCTGTATCTGCCAGTACAGTTCTTGCCTCTGGGCTCTAACATTCAGCGTTCTTCATCTTCATTCATTCATTCAACACTCATCCATCCATTCAAGAAACATGTAGGCAACACTTACCATGTCCAGGTACTCTGCCAGCTGCTGTGAGTACAGAGGTGACTAGACTAGAGAATGGACATGATCCTCTAGGGGCTCAGGGTCCAGCCAAATAACAGACACTGCCAGAGAGTACCTGATTCTTACTCTTATTTAAGTAAGTTATTGGAAACTGATGTTTTAACCTGATAAAATCCTAAACACCCTAACTGGGTGAAATTTCTACTTCTACTAGTCATTTATGATTTGGGGATTGAAATGTCTGCATGAATTCGGCAGCCAAATCTTTCTCAAATCATAACAGATATCAAGCCTGGTGACAGAGTAAACTAAATGAATACAGTTGCAGCATTAGGGAGGGGATTTGCCATGGCTCAGGTGCTGCACTTGGGATTCTACAACAATGCAGGAGGTATTTCCTTGTGTTATCCCCACTTTATAAGAAAATCAATGTTCAGGGAGGTCAATCTACAAGTTTAGAGTGAACACATGTCTTCATGTCTTAAATCTGCAACTTATTTGGTTGGTGTGCTCCTATGTTCAGGGGTGTAAGCAAAATATTTAACAACTGGTCTGGCATGGGCACCAGCCAGTCAGAACAGATGCGCAGCCAAGGAGCTGAAGCAGAATCCAAGTACTCGAGCCCCTGGGGGAGACTGAGCTGACTGAGTAACGGTTAAACTGGTCATGGCAGTGTCTGCTTAGAGACTGGGAGAGAGTTTCAACCAATCATGCTGCCCAGGTGAAGTGGATAACTCCCCTCCTGCTGATCACTGGGTAACTAAACAGAGGGTTGGGTGACCAGAATCTTAGTGCATTTGGATATATGCTGAGAAGCAAGTATGATTTTGCACAGATTTTCTCTACTTCCCAAGCCTTTCTCTCTGGATTCTAAACCAGAATACCAAAACTATGTCTTACTCAACCCATACAGTGATTTCTTCACATACTACAAGCTGACATTTGGGTGGTGCCAAGTTCAAGCCAGACATGCTCATGGTTTTATACATATTGATGCACTTAATTTTCACTTCAAACTCTGAATCAGATACTATTATATTTCCTATTTGACAGTTTAGCAAACTAAGACCCAGAGAGGCCAAGTCATCTGCCCAAAGTGGCACAGCTAATTAATGTGACATGCAGATTTTGAATCTAATCTGGCACCAGAGTGCTCATTCTTAACTGTAACACTTCTGTTTATGCTTTTCTTTCTCCCTGTTATGTTTGTGCTATTTGCTGACATTAAAAAATAAAGAGAGGTATCATAAAAAGAAAAACCTAGATGCCCAGCATCTCAGGGAGAAAATTCAGGAGCTAGAATAAGTTCAAAGAGTGTTCCCAGCTCAGCTTTCAGGAATTCTGGGTCCCAAGCGGGGGTATCATCTGTTTCCTTGTCTTTGTTGTGGTCTTCAGGAGATCATCCTGGTGGTGATGTGCCCTTTATATCCTATTTTAATAATATCGCTGTATTCACATTTAGTAGAGTAACTGCACCGCCATCGGCTTCATCATCCATTCCCAGATATTCCAAGATGGTCTTGATAATCACAGATGATTTGTCAATTTCAAATCTCTCTCCCTATCAGCAATCTGCAGCCTGACTGAAGGCATTGAGTCCAGGGTTGACGACATGGCAGCAGCTGGAGGGTGAGGATGAGAAGAAAGGAAGCATCAGCCTGAGTGAAGGGAAAGGTAGGGACAGGGCTGCTCAGTCCTGGGTGGCTTGGTCAGTCTTGCATGGCTGTTTGGCTGCAGCTGTCTTCTGCATTCATTGGTGTCACCTGCTGGGTCCCTCTAACACCTGTGATTCCTCAACTATGCTCTTCCTAAAGACGGGATGCATTTAGGATCAAAGATGAAGGTGTCCAGGCCAGGTCCCAGCCTGTCCTAACTTTTTTCCCTAATGAGCGTGAGTCATCATTTCTCTCTGATAATAGGTGTCTTAGGAAGTTCAGCAGTACTTAGAAACTCACTGAGTAGCAGATTGGTGGAAAACCCTGAGAAGAGCATTTAAAGAACTGCTGGAGAAAACTCATAACAATTGGAAAGGAAATCTTTGATTGCCTGCAACCCAAAGCATGGAAGATTTTCAATTTTGATCTAAAAGCAACCCGATTATTAAAGGATATTCTCTACAATTATAGTTTCCTATAAAAGTTCAATATTGTATGAAATGTTTTTATCCAAGTGGGTTTTTAAAAGTTTGTTTCTATTTATTTGACAAGCAGAGCGACAGAGGAAAAGTGAAAAACAAAAAGGTTTTTGCTTGTTCTCTCCCCACGCCTGGATCCCAGAACTCCATCTGTGTCTCTCTTATGGGTGGCAAGAACTCAACTACTGGGGCCATCACTCACTGCTTCTGGGGTGTATATTAGTTGGGAGGTGGAAGTAGACGCACCAGGGCTTGAGGCAGATGCTCTGATAAAGGAGTGAGCATCCTAAAGTAGCGGCTTAGCCAACTGCGCCACAGCACCCAACCACCAATATAATTGCTTCTAAAACTCATCTACTTGAATCTTTGCACACAGAAAGCAGGCTGCCAGCTTCGAAGCAGAGCCCTTGAGAGATCTGCACCTTTTCCCACTATACCCTTGACAAGAAACATTTTGGGGGCCGGTGTTGTGATGTAATTGGTGAAGTTGCCACCTGTGACGCTAGCATCCCATATGAGCGCCGGTTCAAGTCCTCGCTGCTCCGCTTCCAATCCAGATCCTGCTAATGGCCTGGGAGAAGAGGTGAAAGATGGCTTAAGCGTCTGAGCTCCTGCCGCCTCTGTGGGAGACCTAGGTGAAGCTTTTGCCTTCAGCCTGGCCCGCCCTGATCATTATGACTACCTAGGGTGTGAATCAGAAGGTGGGAGATCTCTCTCTTTCTCTCTATAACTTTCAAATAAAAATCAAATAAATCCTTAAAATATTAAGAGACATTATGGGGCTCCTTGTGAGGTTATTCTTTCAAGCCCAATTTAAGAGCCATTTAGGAAAATATTTTAATATTATGTTACACTCACATCCTGGTTTTGATCTAAATTAGCAACACTCACCATTTTCCATGATTAGCCAAGTAATATTCCGAGTTCAAAACAAATCCATCAAAGAATGAATATTTGCTTATATTGAGAAAATAATTAGCAATGCTCTTGGGAATCAGTTTCATAAGTGTATTAGCTGAAAGGATAACTACGTATTTGAATGCTTTAATGTGCTTTTTTATTTAAAGGATCTGGAAAGAGAATAATAAATATCTAATTCTGTTTTTCAGACGAGATCGGGCGCGTTCAGGGTGGTATGGCCGTAGACTAATTCTGTTTTTCAAATGTATTTATGTGTACAGATAGAATACACAGAAGGACTCTTCCAAAAGTTCATGGAAAATGCATGAGAGGGCCACATATGGATTTCAAAACCTTTTCTTGTGCAAAAGTAAACTTATCCTTTAATTTCATTTTCCATGAACTTTCTGAAGCACCCTCATATGTGCTGAAGTGCAAGTTATTATTTCTGGATAATACAATTAGACACGATTTTATTTTTTTCCTCAATCATATTCATTCAATAAGAACTCAGGGCTTACCAGCAGTATGTTAAATGCTAGGGATACAATATGAAGATTTATTTATAGTTTGTTATTTCAATGAGAATTCATACTATTTGTGATCATAAGATTAAGCTGATTCTGCTCTGAAAAACCCACACATTTAAATATGTAACAACTGAAGACAATGAGAAGGGGAGAACGGTCTACCTCCATCAAGCAACCCATCGAGGTAACTGGTTTTGGCATTTAAACGGTTGGGTGCATTGGAAAACACTGATAAAATCTGAGGGTGGAAAGACTCAGAGTTCAAGATCCACATCTGCCACTACTTATGCAACTTGGACTGATAAAGCACTTTAAGCCCTGGGCTCTTTCTCCAGAGGTGACACAGCGGGGGAATATGGTCACACCGAGGGCAAGAACTGTTCTGCATTTTTCCTTGGCCAGAAGAACTGAGAATGCTGGCTGGTGAGCTGGCGGGTGAGGGCTGATGCCACTGCAAACTGGGATGTGTCTTTGCAGCCAGAGGAAGAGGATGGGGCTGACCCCTCACCTGGCCACAAATTCCATGTGTGGACATGATGCTGGCTCTAAAGGGCTCCTACGGTTCCCCTGGCCAGCCAGCAAGGGTTCCCTGCAGGTACAGTGTGAAGGAGATAATCCAAGGCTCTCTGGGAGCAGGGCCACTGCAAAGTTTGTGTCAGAGGTGGCAGCTGGGTGGGTATATCACCCCTCAGCCCATTGCAGCCCAACTGGGCCCTGCCTCAGGCTCTGAGAGTCAATGACCCAGCAGCCAGCCTTCTCTTACCCACTCCACCCCTCCGCCCCTTCAGCCAGACCTGACCTTGAGAAGGAGGAAGGGAAAATACACTGGAGAGGAAGGAAGCAACCCTGACAGGAAAGCACGACTCTGAACTAACTGATGACTTGGGGGAAACAGATTGTTGTAGACCGGAAGAGGCGGTTGCCTTTCACTGGCAAGTTTAAGACTCCCTCTCTCTCCCACCATCAGCGGGACTGCAAGTGGGTAAGAACAGTTAGGAAAATGAAAAATGTCAAGTGCCTTTTAAAAACACCTGAGCATTTAGGACTCCACCCCATTGGGTGAGTGTGTCATTGTAATTCCCTAGAGCACTGTGAAGGAAATGTCCCCAGTGCTTTGAACCCATTTTATTGGGCTTAAAAGTCATAGACTGGCTCAGCTAAGAAAAGGAAGTGATGTTGGAGCTGTGACTCAGAGGAGAGCCCAACAGGTGCCAAGAGAAGAGAGGGGAACTAGGCTGGAGTTGCAGCAGTGCAGGTGAGCCTGAGGTCAGACACCTGCTACTGCCTGTTAACAGTCACCAGTCATGCAGCTATTGCAGTGTGCACCTCTAACTTGCAGTGGAGAAATAATCACAGTAATACCGGAGTGCATTTTGCAGCCTAGGCAAGTACGGAGCATTCAGTGCTGGTCTGCGGGTGAGCAGAGATTACAGGCCTGGAGAAATGGAGTGGGGCCCTCAGCCAAGACAGCTGGGAGAAACTTAGATCACAGCCACCCAGCCACACGTGCCAAATTCCGTGCCACCCCATCCCACCTCCAGACTCTTAAGAGTTCCTGAGTCCTGCCAACTTCTGCCTCTCTACCCGTTCTGGACTTCTGAAGGGTTGGCCCAGAAACAGGGCTTTCTTGGAGGAGGGTAGGGGGAGCCAGAAGGAAAGGGCCTGAGAGACAGGCAAAGACCAATGGGGGCTGCTAGCTGACACTGGGACACCACGAGCAGCGGTTAGCATGCTGCTTTGAACAGCAGTGAGAGCAGATAGAACGCAGTCAGCGCCTCTCTCCGTCAGCCAGTACCCTGCTCGAAGCCCACAGTGCAGTTGCCTGGGCTGTTACAATACTCTATTTAAGCTTTAAGGACATCTATTTTTTCCTTACATTTTATTCATCTGAGAGACAGAGGAAAAAAAAAAAAAAGAGATCTTCTGGGGTCAGCATTGTGGCACAACTGGCTAATCTTCCACTTTTAAGCAGCAGGGATTCCACTTAGGTGCTGCTTCATGTCCTGGCTGCTTCACTTCTGATCCAGCTGCCTGCTATGGCCTGGGAAAGCAATGAAGGATGACCCAAAGCCATCTGCCACTTGAGAGACCAGGAGGAAGCTCCTGACTCCTGGTTCTTGCCTTAGGATCAGCTCAGCTCCGGCCATTGTGGCCATTTGGTGAGTCATTTGCTCATCTGCTGAGATGGAAGATCTATCTCTGTCTCTCCTCTCTGTAAATCTACCTTTACAATAACAAAATTAATTTTTTTTTTAAAAAAAGATCTCCCATCCACTGGATTACTCCTCAAATGCCTGCAGCAGCGCCAGGCCAGGAACTCAATGTGGGTCTCGGTAGTGGGGACCCAGCTAGCTGAGTCAGCACCTGCCTCCTATTAGGATGGAAGCTGGAATCAGGAATGAAAACCAAGGACTCTGACACTGGATGTGGCTATGTCAAATGGTGACTTAGCTGTGGTACAAAACACCCTCCTCTGTATTTTTTTGAAAGATTTATTTATTTTATTGAAAAAGCAGATCAGATTCATAGAGAGACAGAAAGAAAGATCTTCTCTCCACTGATTCACTCCCCAAGTGGCCACAATGTACAGAGCTGAGCTGATCCAAAGCCAAGAGCCAGGAGCATCTTCCAGATCTTCCACACAGGTGCAGGGTCCCAAGGCTTTGGGTCATCCTTGATTGCCTTCCCAGGCCATCAAGTAGGGATCTGGATGGGAAGCGGGGCAACTGGGACACGATCCAGTGCCCATATTGGATCCTGATACTTGCAAGGTGAGGATTTAGCCATTGAGCTATTGCACCAGACCCTATAGTATTTTTTTAAACTAGGTTTACTGCCTCTGCTCCAGTTTCCCCACAATCTTTGTTGAGAGCTAAACTGATCAGATTGCATCGCGCCTCTGCATGAAACCTGCTAACGAGTCCCGTCTTGCTGCTAATGAAATCACCTGTCCTTGCAAGCCTGTGAACCCAGTGGCTGCTTAACAATGTCAGCTTGTCCCATTTATTCTCTCCATCCAGTGCCTTGCATGTTCCCTTGTTGGCTTAGGTGTGTCCACTTCCTCCTGAAGTCCCTTCTGGACATCCTGGGCCTGAGTCCCTGCATCCCTCAGAGACCTGTCCTCTCACTGCCATCTACATCCCCTCTAGGCCTTTCCCATCTCTCTGCTTGTTTCTTTCAGAACTCTGATCCAGCTGGTATTTTCTTACTTATTTGGTTTCTTATTTATTGCTCACAGTAGAATCTAAACTCCTTGAGGGCAGAGACGTAGCCTGGATAAGGCCTGCCCTGAAGAAGGCACTTGAGAATGGACCACTCACTAAGGATGGATCAAGGTAAAGGGATGACTCTGCACCACAAACATTCCCGTCCTGTGGGTGCTCCTGGGATATAAGACAAACAAGAGGTGGTGAGGGATGGGTGGGGTGGGGGAGAGTCATGCCTACAAAGATGATTTGCCTTGCAGTCTCCTACAAGCACAGTCAACTCACCCTGATGGAAACTCAAAAAGAAGTGTTGTGGTTTCACTAGAGTGTGCTGCTTTTGACCAGGGAATTGAAAAAATTTCCTAAGTCCAAATTTAGTTAGATAGTTCAGCAGACAATAAACGTGGGCATTTACTGCTGTGCAAAAGCACTGGAGCTACACAGACGAACAAGCCTTGCTCCCTACTCTCAGGGTGTGCTCAGTCTAGCAGAGGAGCCAGCCCAAGGAGAAGATCGTTGTATTCTATAAAGCGATAACAACAGGAGTGGCCATGGTGGGGGCTACGTAGAAGAGCTCAGAGGAGCAAAGGTGGGCTGTCTTTGGAGAGTGTGGGCAGAGCTTGCAGAGGAGGTGAGCTCGGAAGCAGGCTGAGGAAAGCCAAGATCAATGAATACAGAACTATAAGCATCAACAAGGAGATCTGAATGGTCAAGTGACCGTGGATGTTAGTTATTTTGCCTTTTCTCAAGATTTCTTTTTTATTTTTTATTTTTTCTTTCTTTCTTTTTTTTTTTTTTTGAAAGGCAGAGTTACACACAGAGAAAGAGAGGGAGACAGAGAGAGAGATTCCACCTGCTGGTTCACACCTCACATGGCCACAATCACTGGGTCTGAGCTGATTCAGAGCTTCTTCCTAGTCTCCCACATGAGTAGAGGGGCCCAAGTACTTGGCCAATCATCCTCTGCTTTCATAGGTGCATTAATAGGGAAGGGATTGGAAGTGAAGCCCTTGAGACTCAAACAGGCACCCTTGTAGGATGCCAGCACTGTAGACAGCAGCTTAGCTTGTTATGGCACAATGCCGTCCTTGATTCTAGTTATGTTGATTATAACATCTTATAAGGAACTAGAAGTGCAGACTGAAGATCAAGTTTGGGAATTCCTAGCAAGTGTTGAGGCGTTGGAGCAAAGAAAAATCTTTCAGAGAAGATACCTCAGGGGCAGAAAGAAAGAAGATGAGATGTGCACCCTGGGTGGAGCCAAGGGTGAAGACTGGAGCTGTAAGACTGGCTAGTTGACCAACAGGTAGAGAGGAAAGAAGACAGATGAGTGCAGACCCCAGCTAGTCTGATAGAGCTATCAGTATTCCACAGGGAATGCAGAGGAAAACAAATCAGCCAAGGAGTGATCAGGAAAATGGGAATGAGAATCTGAAACATTTCAGTGCCTACAAAAGCAAAGGAAAGGAGATTTAGGTTTTCAGAGGTTTTTGCTACCTCCCTTGCAGAGGTAAATCATCATTTTCAATAGCTGCTCTGGTGAATTAATTCTTTATAGTGGTACTGTGACTACCCTTTCAAGATGCACAGGAGACCTACCATTTTAAGAAAACCATATCACAAGGTGCTACTTGATAAGATGGCTATAACGCAACCCAGAGAAATGAGGTTGGATGTTAAATGTAGCTGTGGCCTGGTGGGTGATCAGAAGATACAGTGGAGTCTCCTTTCTCAGTGTGACACCCATAGATCCAGGGTGGTTGTAATCAGCCTTAGAAATAGGGTTCTGATGTTCTATTCCTAAACAGGTTGTTGCATCAGCCTGAGAAGCAAGCTGGCTCAAAAGGATGGCCCTGTCACCAGCTAAACAGAGGATAGAGCCTGTGGGAGAAGTTGTCCTTGGAGGTATGAACACATTAGGCTCAAAGGCTGGAGCCCTGGCTCCAATTCTGGGTGTGCCACTAGCTCTTTAGGAGCTTGGTCAAGGCATTTAAGTTCTGTCTGTCTCAGTCATCTCATTTGTAGAATGGGGATCTGCCTGTCTCAAACCATCTGCACTATATGGTTTGCAGAGAGCCATAATGTCTCCCATCTCTGCATGCTTCTCTTATCAAGAAGTAGAATTTCCATGTCTTTGCTGTTTTAACTTGTATTGTTGTAAATGTAAGACTACAGATCCCTTTGTCATATGCAGATTTCATTTCTTTTGGATAAATTCCCAGACTTGGGATAGCTGGGTCATATGGCGGGTTAATTTTCAGTTCTCAGCATTCTCCATACTGACTTCCATAATGGTTGTGTTACCCTACACTCCCACCAATAGTGGAGGATGCTTTCTTCCCACATCCATGCCAGCAGGTGTTGTTAGTGGAGTTCTGAATGTAAGCCAGTCTCACTGGAGTCAGGTGAAACCTCGAATGTGGTTTTCATTTGTATCTACTTGACAGCTAGAGAGCCTGAGCATTTTTTAAATGTCTATTAGCCATTTGAATTTATTCTTTTGAAAAATGTCTGTTCATTTCCTTCACCCATTTCTTCACAAGGTTTTTTGTTTTGCTGTCATTGAGTTTCTGAAGCTCTTTGTAAATCCTGGATACTAGTCCTCTATTGGTTATGTAGTGTGCAAAGAATTTCTCCCATTCCATTGGTTAGTTCTTCACTTTGTTGATCGTCTCCTTTGCTGTACAGAAGCTCTTTAGTTTGATGTAGTTCCATTTGTTCATTTTGGCTTTGACTGCCTGTGCTCTTGGTGACTTTTCTAAGTCTTTCCTCATTCCTTTATCTTGGAGAGTGCTTCCTATGTATTCCTCTGATAGTTCGATAGTTTCTGGGTGCAGATTTATGTCCTTGACCCATTTAGAACTGACTGTTATATAAGGTGAGAGGTGGGAGTCTTGTTTCTTACTTTTGCAGGCTGCTACCAATTGTCCCCATAGCATTTGTTGAAGACATCAGACTTCCCTGGATTATTTTCAGTTCTCTTGTGGAAGACTAATTGGCTGTACATGTGTTGGCTCTCTTCTGGGGTTTTTATTCTGTTTCACTGATCTTCCTCTCTGTTTCTGTACCAGTACCAGACTGTTTTGATGACAGCTGCTCTGTAGTATGTCTTGAGGTTTGGAATGGTGATTATTCCAGAATAGCTTTGGCTATTCATGGTATCTTATGTTTCCAAATGAACTTTTGTATCACCTTTTCTATTTTTGAGAAGAATGTTGGGATTTTGATTGGGATCATGTTGAATCTGTGTGTTACTTTTGGTAATATGGACATTTTTGATGATGTTTATCCTGCTGATCCAGAGATTGGTAGGTTTCTCAATCTTTTAATGTCTTCTTCTATTTCTTTTTTTAATGTTTTATAATTTTCATTATAGAAGTCTTCCATATCTTTGGTTAGGTTAATTCCAAAGTATTTGAGAATCTTCCAAGATATTTGAGATTCTTTTAAAGGGGATTGTACTTATACTTTCTTTCTCAGCCAAAAAGAGACTGTGGTACATCTGCTCCGTGAACTATTGCTACTTAGTCATTAAAAAGAGTGAAATTTGGGCCCGGTGGGATAGCCTAGTGGTTAAAGTCCTCAACTTGCATGCCCGGGATCCCATATGGGCACTGGTTCATGTCCTGGCAATCCCGCCTCCCATCCAGCTCCCTGCTTGTGGCCTGGGAGGGCACTAAAGGACAGCCCGGGGCCTTGGGACCCTGCACTGGTGTGGGATACCATGAAGAAACTTCTAGCTCTTGGCTTCAGATTGGCCCAGCTCCAGTTGTTGAGGACACTTGGGGAGTGAATCATCAGACAGATCTTCCTCTCTGTATCTCTGACTTTGCAATAAAAATAAAATAAATCTTTTTTTTAAAAAAAGGGTGAAATTGTGCCATTTGCAAGCAAAAGGTCCCAACTATTATGTTCAGTGAATCAAGCCAATCCCAAAAGGACAAACATCATATGTTCTCTCTGATATACTGCAAAATATGAGATCAATAGCCCTTTCAATATTGTTTTTGCTACATCTCAGTGGGTTTGATATTTTTGTTTTTATTTTCATTCATTCAAAAAAAAGTTTAGTTTTTCTAACTAATTTCCTCACTGACTCACAGATTGCTTCAGGCAACTCTTTGCTTTTCTTTTTCATTTCTTCAGTGGCACAGTGGTCATTTAGTAGCATATTATTTAACTTCATGTTGTAAATTTTCTGTTTTTCCTCTCTTATTGGTTTTGTCTTATGACTTTTTATTTAAGGGCATGCGTAGTAACTGTGTAGTAGAGACTGTCACATACAGATGTGAAGATACAATGCAGTGTGCATCTCTACTTCCAACTCAAAGATAGACTCTCATTGAAACTGCTGAGTGTATCTTGACAATAGGATGCTGGACTCTCTGCTATTGTCCATGCCTACAATGTCAGGATACATTTAAATAGCAGAATGATGGACTTACGACTGATTCTGAAGGACTTTACTAGTGTGATGACATGGGGGAAATCAGTGCTTGGGGGAGAGTACTTAGGGAAGGAGTAAGGGAAACTCCAAAGCCTATGGAACTATATCACGGAATAATAAAATAAATAACAATTTTTAAATAAGTAGAATTTATTTTCTCTCCACTTGAATATGGGTTGGCCTGTAAATTGTTCTGAATGAGAGAATGCAGTAAAAGTTCATTATATTTACATCTGAGCGTTAAGATGTTTCACAACGCTTGTGATGATACCAACAAGCTTGAGCTAACCTTGTTGAGAGGTTCAGCCATCAGCCAGCACCAACCACTGGCCATGTGATTGAAGTCATCTTGGACAGTATAGCCCACTTACGTTGCCAGTTAACATGGCCATCCCCACAAAACTAGCAGAAGTGCTCAGCTGAGCCCAACCGAAATTGCCAGCTCATAGAACTAGGAACAAATGAATAGCTGTTGTTTTAACGCGTGAAGTAGAGGTTTATCATATGTGAATGGAAAACTGATGCTGACCCTTTTATAGCTGACATTCTGGAAACTGATTTTATTGCTTTAAAAAGTCAGGCTATGTAATCTTTTTGTTTTAAGTTAGGGTTGGCTGTAGAGTGGATGGTTGGCCAAGATCTGAGCAGTGGAGAGGCTCTTACCCACTGCCCTTTGCTTGCAAATTTTCTGTAACATCTCACTCTTGGCTGTTTGGGCTTCCGTGGAGATAGCCCCCTCCTAAAGACGCAAAATTTCCAAGTTAAGGCTACTATTGAGTAAAGAGATAGGCAGACACAGAGAGCTATGGGGGACGGTTAGTGGGAGTAAAATCAGTAGCCAGGAATTACATTTGGGTCGCCCATGTGGGTGACAAGAACTTAAACATCTGAACCATTGTTTGGAGAGTTCCAGGGCCTCCATTTGCAGGAAACTGGAGTTAGTAACTGAAGCTGTGTATTGAACTCATGTGCTCCAATGTGGAGCACCGACAACCTAACAGATACGCTAACAACTGAGCCAAACACCTGCCCCTGAACTTTTAGGATCCAGTTTCTTCACCTTTTTATTTATGTATTTTAAATATTTATTCCATTTATTTGAAAGGGAGAGTTAGAGAAAGAGAAAGAGAGAATGTGTGAGATTGAGATCTTCCATCTGCTATTTCATTCAAACCCTAATGGCTATAGCAAGCAAGGCTGGACCAGGCTGAAGCCAGGAGCCAGGAACCAGGAGCCAGGAATTTCCTCAGGATTTCCAACATGTGAACAGAGCACAAGGACTTGCACCATCTTCTGCTGCTTTCCCAGTTGTATTAGCAGGGTGCTGGTTTTGGAAGTGGTGCACCCTGGACATGAACCGGTGACCATACGGATGCCTGTGTTGTAGGTTGCAGTTTTACTCACTACTCCACAACACCAGCACCCCCATTTCTACTGTTGTTATTGTTACATTCATGGAAAAAAAATTTTGTTTTAAGCCTGAGAAGGAAAGAGACAGTTGTGATAGTACATCAGATCCCTAACTCATGTCTCTTAGCTCCGAATCTGAAGCTCTTCATGTTGCACTCAAAGACTCCTTCACTGCCTCCACCCTCCTTCCTGATCCATGAACTTAACACCTGTCCTTTTCAGCTTTATATTCCAGACATGGAATCACTTTCCTCTTGTCATTCAGGGTCCTCACATCACGTGAGGAGTTTTTCCAATCACCAGATGACAGTGGTAATAATAATAACAGCGTATTTCCAAAAAGATAGGTTTATTTTTTTTTTGCCATGCACCGCTAATGTGCCTGTTTGTGGGATACAGACAAGAGAGACACACAACATCTACCTGTGGGCAATTTACATTGCTGGGGAGGAGAGACAGACAACATACCAAGAAATAAGGTAATCAGAGGCTGGTGTGTTGAAGAGTCAACAAGACGGTGAGAAAGAGGTGACTGGCCTGAGGAATGTAGGGTCAAGAGTGGCCTCTTTGAGGTCATGACATACGAGCTGAAGCCTCTATGGTGAGGAAGCAGCAACACTTCAGGACCAGAAGAGAGGAAACGCCCTGAAGCAGGGCGTACTTATTTCAGAGCTGGAGGAGCGGCCTGCAGTGAGCAGAGAAGGCATCAGCGCAGATGGAGGCAGCAGCTACTCAACACAGAGCCTGGAGTCTAGATATTAGAGTGAGCAGAAGGGCAGGTTTAAGAAACATGACAATTTTATTTAAAATTGTTCAAGTGTATTTGAAGGCAGAGAGATGGAGAGACTGAGTTTCTATCCACTGATTTTTCTCCCCACAATGCTACAACAGCTGAAACTGGAATTAGGCCGGAATCAGGAGGCCAGAAGGAAATCCAAGCCTCCCACACGAGTGGCAAGAACCCAATTACTTGAGCCCTTGCAGTCACCTCCCAAGGGCTGCATCAGCAAGAACCTGGAGTCAGGAGCCAGAGCCAGGAACTGAAGCCAGCACCTCAGTGTACAATGTGGGTTTCTTAATTGCTGGGTTAAATGCTTGTTCCTCAGATGAACATATTTGGAAAAAACTTGTCTATTTATTTGAAAAGCAGAGTGACAGAAAATGAGAGCCATCTTCCATCTGCTGGTTCATTCTCCCAGAAGCCTGCAGCAGCCAAGGCTGTGCCAGGTCAAAGCCAGACGCCAGAAACTCCATCTGGGTCTTCCACCTTGGATAGCAGGGTACCACATAATGGACCATCATCTGCTATCTCCCAGGCACAATTAGCAGGAAGCTGGATCAGAAGTGTGGAATAGTCCGGACTTAATCTAGGCACTCCAAGATGGGATATGGACATCCTCAAAGGAGGCTCAACCTCCTGTGCCACACACTTACTCCAGAGTTACTTTATTAAAAAAAAAAAAAAATCTTATTTTCTGTTTTACAGGTTTGCAGGTTTGCAGGTATAGGGCTTCCTCCCCTTCCCAGTTCTCTACTCTCTCTCCCTTCCAACAGTTACATTTTTAAAAAGATCAACTGAGCTGCTTAGATAGGAAAGGGATATTAAGGTTTTAGGGTGAAATTGGGAAGGTGGTTTATAAAATGCTACCAACACATGGAGCACTTTTTATATTTTAGTCCTAATTTTTTAAAATGATTTATTTATTTTTTTTAAAGATTTATTTATTTATTGGAAAGTCAGATATACAGAGAGAAGGAGAGACAGAGAGGAAGATCTTCTGTCTGATGCTATGCTGATCCGAAGCCAGGAGCCAGGAACCTCTTCTGGGTCTCCCACACGCGCGTGCAGGGACTCAAAGCTTTGGGCCATCCTCGACTGCTTTCCCAGGCCACAAGCAGGGAGCTGGATGGGAAATGGAGCTGCCGGGATTAGAACCGGCGCCCATATGGGATCCTGGCGTGTTCAAGGCAAGGACTTTAGCCTCTAGGCCACGCTGCTGGGCCCTAGTCCTAATGTTTCAACACTTCAAAGAGTATATCATTATGCCTCTTCTATGGACAAGGAAAGTGAGACTAGCAGGGGTCAGGAAACTTTCCCAAAGTTGAATTTGAAACATGAACCACCTGATCCTCTTGGTGCCAGCCATTCCCGTGTAGTAGATGGTCTTCCTAAGATGCCCAACTCTTCTTGATGCTGATAAATTTTCTGATTGCCATTGTATTTTGAATTGTGAAAATGTTTTAAAGATTTATTTATTTTTATTGGAGAGTTACATGCAGAGAGGAGGAGACACAGAGAGGAAGATCCTCCATCCGCTAATTCACTCCCCAAGTATCCTCAACAGCCGGAGCCGAGCCTATCTGAAGCCAAGAGCTAGGAGTTTCTTCAGGGTATCCCACACCAGTGCAGGGTCCCAAGGCCCCGGGCTGTCCTTTTGCCCTCCCAGGCCACAAGCAGGGATCTGGATGGGAAGCGGGGCTGTCAGGACATGAACCAGTGCCCATATGGGACCCCAGCACATGCACTGTGAGAGGACTTTAACCACTAAGCTACCACACTGGGCCCTGAATGATGAAATTTTAAAGTTGGAAGCTGCAGATGAGGAATTCCTTCAAGAATGGAGTTATGTCTTGCCATTTGGTTATGGCTTCATCCCCTGATGCATAGTAGGCAGTCACGCAGTATCTGATGAATGCATGGATGAACAAATGATCACACAGGTTCCAGTTGCGAGAGGTTTTCTAAACCACTCTCCACCCACACCCATCATTTTCAAGCAGGAGGTGTGCATCTTTCTCAGAGTCATAGAAAGGCCTAGAAAGAGAGCCCACAGGGCCCAACCTGTGGTGTCAGTGCATGTGTGTAGGGCAGCGTTCTTGTGTGACCTCCCATTGAGGTGTGGAAAGGTCCTCGAGTCAGGAATAGTGTCTATTTTGTATCTGCACCATGTCATGATGGGAGTGTGTGGAGCCTAGGAAGAGGTTCAACTTGGAAGTAAGTTTTCTCCCTGAAAATGAAATTAAACAAATTAAATCCACATGCGATGGGGAGGGGAGTGGGAAACCAATGCCTTCTAGGCCTCCTGGAACAGCTAGTGAACTGGAGTTTAATGTTCAAAGAGAGAGCATTTGAACAGAACAGGGTGTGGTCAGAGGGAATGTAAAGCAAAAAACCATCTTGGCTTGAGTGTCCAGGAGTGAGGGGGTGGGGCACTGGATGAAGGGAATTGGGGGTGTTTTGGTTTCCAGGGTGGCCCCTGTGAGGGGAGCAGAACAGAGCGGCTCAGTAAGCATCCTGGGGACCTGAAGCATCATGGTGCCTTCATTGCTGCTGGCTGAAAGACACACTCGCAGATGGAAAGCTGCCTTCCTGCCTGCCTGGGGAGTCTACCAGACAGCATGGGAGCTGCAGTCATTTCAGCCCCTCGAGAAGGGAGTGCTCGCTCTCCTTGGACTCCTCAGGAAATCTGCAAGTGAACTCGGTCTTTGAAGAAGCTCCACACAAAAGACACCACTGAGAATCTTGTCTTCCCTGGGTAAGAGGCCTCTCCAAGTTGAGAAAAGCTCTGGCACCAATCATGTTTTGATGAAAAATGCTAAAGCACACTTACAAAATTTATGGTCTGTTTTAAACCAATTGATGCTTTCATTAAACAAAAAAAAAAAACCTTATTTATTTCTTTTTTTAAAAGATTTATTTATTTATTGGAAAGTCAGATATACACAGAGGAGGAGAGACAGAGAGGAAGATCTTCCAACCGATAATTCACTCCCCAAGTGAGCGGAGGAGTGAGTGCAATGGTCGTCCGATGCTATGCCAATCCGAAGCCAGGAGCCAGCAACCTCTTCTGGGTTTCCCACGTGGGTGCAGGGTCCCAAAGCTTTGGGCCATCCTCGACTGCTTTCCCAGGCCACAAGCAGGGAGCTGGATGGGAAGTGGAGCTGCCAGGATTAGAACCGGTGTCCATATGGGATCCTGGCACGTTCAAGGCGAGGACTTTAGCTGCTAGGCCACGCTGCTAGGCCACGCTGCCGGGCCCGCCTTATTTATTTCTATTGGAAAGTCAGATTTACAGAGAAGAGAGACAGACAGAAAGCTCTTCTGATGCTAGTTCATTCCTCAAGTGGCTGCAATGGCCAGAGATGAGCTGATCCAAAGCCAGGAGCCAGAAGCTTCTTCTGGGTCTCCACATGAGTGTAGGGTCCCAAGGCTTTGGGCCATCTTCGACTGCTTTCCCACATAACAAGCAGGGAGATGCCTGGGAAGTGGGGCAGCCAGTACACAAATTGGCACCCATATGGAATCCTGGTGCACGCAAGGCAAGGACTGTAGTACTGGGCCTAATGCTTTAAAAGTTTTTGGAAGGTTTATTATTTTATTTATTTGAAAAACAGAGTTACAGTCAGAGGAAGAAAGAGAGAGACAGAATCTTCCATCTGCTGGCTCACTCCCCACATGACCACAGGGCAGGGGACCAGAGTTTCTTCTGGGTCTCTCATGTGGGTACACAGGCCCAAGTACTTGAGCCATCTTTTGACTACTTTCTCAGGTACATTAACAGGGAGCTAGATTAGAAGCAGAACAGCCAGGACTTGAACCAGCACCCATAAGGGATGTTGGCATCTCAGACAGAGGCTTAACGCACAGTAGCACTAAGTGGGTCCTCCTAAAATTTTTTAAAGTAATTTTTATTTACTTTCCTAAAAGGTAGAGACTGACACAAAGAGAAACAGAGAACTTAACATTAACTGATTTATTCCAGTACTTGAACCATCATCTACTGTCTCCCAGTGTGTGCCTTAGCAGGAAACTGCATCAGAAAATAAAGTAGTTGGGGATCAACCATTACTCCACTAAGAGATGCAGACATCCCAAGGGCTAGCTTAACTACTGTGCCACATGCCACACCCCAACTGGTGCTCTCAACATACAGAATGCAGTGTAACACTACGGTGCTAGTGAAAAGATTGACTCTTTGTGCACTCCACTGCAGTGTGGTTAGGTCCAATCCATTTTTGAACTTGTCACCTAAGACTTACACTGTCACCAGGCTGCTGCCACCGGCCTTCTCTGGTGAGATGGGGATCTTGTCATGGGACTCCCTTAGACTAGCACAGTCCCCCTGTGCTCAGTATGGGGCTGGCTACGGACAGTGTCAGTGCTCACTCACAAAGCTGGAGGGCTGCTGAGATGGTGAATCCAGTCAGTGCCAAACAGACCTAGGATGCTTGAAGTTATCTGTTGAACATTCAGGTTTTTTTTTCTTTTATTATATTTGGCAAGCTTTACAGTGTTAATTAGGGTAAAAAGGTACAAGGGCTATGGGAAAGTGGCTAAGACCACCATTTCCCTATTGTTTCCTTCGTATATATAAGGCAAAGGGAATATTGAGGGAGAAGCCCCACCCAGTCTCCCACCCACCCCAGGTCCCAGATGTAGGGCACGCTCCGAGATCCTTGCTCAAGTGGTTCCGATAGTTCACCAGTCATAAATCACTGCCAATCTCGCCACTCCAGGTACGATGAGGTTGTTGAAGAATACACTGATTGACATAGTCCATCATAGAGTCTACCCTTGTCCAGTATTTCGCTGCCAACATATAGCTGAGGTGGTTGATTGACCTGCTCCATCTTCCATCTTTTCTTGGTTAATGTTCTGAGTCTGCCATTTCAATTGAGGGGATCCCCAAAGAAACTCTGAGGTGTTCCCAGACCAGATTCCTATATGTACTAGCAAGTACAGGGCCTGCCGCAGTCCATCAGAACATTCAATTTCAAAAGACAATTCCATGACTGAAGTAGAAATGTGCTCATTGCGATGGTAGGCATTGTGAAAGTGTGGAAATTGGACTGGTGTATGGACACTTGAACCAGTGTCCATAGGGGATGCCGGCACTACAGGCAGAGGATAGGCTTGATTTGCCACTGTGTGGCCCCTGTCAGCCTCATTTTCTACGATAATTTGAAGATGAAGGTTTCAGCCCTCTGCTCCAGGAAGCGGAGGCAGGGAGGTGGAAGGGTGGGAATTGTGCCCTTTAAGATTCTGTGCTTTGGCCTCGGATAGGAAGTGGAATCTTAGCTTGTGATAATTTCCAATCATGCTTATATATCAGATTTACATGGATCATGGCCTTATCCCCAAGAGTCTGATGTTGAGTCCAGAAAATCTGTATCTTTCCAAAGACCCATCCAAACAACCTTGCTCTTCATGAAACTCTTGTAAAAGTCTTACCCATCTGCTGGCCCCACTCAAACCCCACCTCCTCCGAGAAGCCTCCCTAAGTCCACAGATGAAGGACCTGACTCTTTTTCCTGCTCCTCCACAGCGTCCTGTTTGAACTCTGTCGCTTAGAGTTACTGCTGTGATTTGCCCCTCCGTGCCTCCCATCTTTCTGTCCTTAATATCTGCTGAGACATCCTATTTTGTTGTTGTTGTTGAGTCAGTTGATTGACAGTAGGAGGAATGCTGGGTAATAAGCCTAATAAATGATATTGCATAATCATAAGTGAGATACAGAAATAATTACCAGGACAGGGAGTAATTAGTGACATTTTGGGGAGAATTGAAACCTCAAGCTTCAGAATTTTTTTTTTAATCAATGTGTTTGCAGGGAAGATGGTAGGTGGAGACTTCATCTGCTGGCTTCCTTCACAGATGCTGCCATTTGGCTCAGGGTACAAGCTGGTAGTCAGAACTGCATGCCAAGACTACCACATGGAGCTGCCCAGACCCAGCAACTTGGGTCCTCACTGCTGCCTTCCAGGATCTGCATTAGCAGGAAGCTGGAATCAAACCCAGATATTCTGATATGGAACATGTCATCTGAATGGTAGGGCTAACTTTCTACCCTCAAGCATGAGATTTTTTTAAAAGATTTATTTATTTATTTTTTTATTGGAAAGGAAGTTAGAGAATATAACACACACACACACACACACACAGATTTCATCCTCTGGTTTACTCCTCAAATGACTACAACAACCATTTGGTCCAATCTGAAGCTGAGGGCTGGGAACTTCTTGCAGGTGTCCCACGTGGATGCAGGAACCTAAGGACTTGAGTCATCCTCCACTGTTTTCCCAGGCCATAAGGAGGGAGCTGGATCTGAAGCAGAGAAGCCAGGACTCTTAACTAGTGCCCATATGGGATGCTGGCACTGAAGGCAGATGATTAGTTTACTATACCACTAAATTCTCCCCTACTCCCTGTCTGCTGTAGGTTTTACTGATGAAAATTTGTTAACACCATGTGCTCTCACCCAAAATCCATGTTGTACCATTAGAAGGAAAGGGAGGGATCGGTGTGGTGATGTAGGAAGCTTATCCACCTGTGGTGCCAGCATCCCTTAGTGACACCAGTTCATTCCCCAGCTGCTCTACTTCCCATACAGTTCCCTGCTTATGGTCTAGGGAAGGAGCAGAAGATGATCCGAGTATTTGAACCCACGAGACCTGGAAGGTGATTCTGGCTCCCAGCTTCAGACCAACCCAGCTCCAGCCATTGCAGTCATTTGGGAAATGAACCAGCAGATGGAAGATCTATCCTTGTCTCTATGTAACTCTTTTAAGTAAAATAAATCTTAACTCTTTAAGGGAAAAAAAACAACAGGGAGAGGAAAGGGCGAGAAGTCACAACTGAACCATGAGCCACTGCTGTAAGTCCCCAGATGATACAAGTGTGGCCACTCTAGTCCAAGTCACTTCCCACATAGTGCAGTGCATCTGTGTACAACGGGACAGACAGCCCTGGGCCTCTTCCCTGTCTGTAACACTCAAGAGTCCAACACACACAACAGCTTTTAAATGTTTAGAGCAAGAAGATGGGAGTATTTTATCTTTTGTTTTGATCCTGGAAGGTGTCGGACAAGGCTTGGTAGGAAGCTGTGGTCTGTTTTTATCAGGCAGTCACCGGAAGCTCAGGAAATACCGGGAAGGGCAGGATGTCACACTAGGTGTGAATGCCAAAGGTGGGGAAGGGGTGCCAAGGGGGTTTCAAGACCCACTCTTGATGGGTGGCAAAAGCCAACGGCTTGGAGGCTGATTATCACCTTTAAAAAAAATCACTTGAATGTAATTAGTAATTAGAGAGCTGCAACGGAAGGCAGCTGTGGGCCTGGGACCAGGCCTGCAGTGGAGCGTGGGGCGATGCCTTGAGAGCAAAATCAGATCTTCCAGGCTCAAGCGGGGCAAATAACTGCCCACTTCAGGAACCCACGGTCAGGGGTCCTGGGGCTATGTGTGTGTGATGGGAGGTGCCAGAGCCTACGGGGAGTGTGGATATCAAATCTGAGCTATTCTGAACCCAGCCCTTTGT